TTGAAAATTGGGATCCTGTTCCTTGAAATCTGACCTGAACCCCTCCCACTGCARAGCTGTCAGCTCTGAGAGGGCTCTGCTGACCCTTGTAAAGCAGATCSCTTACAGCACTCAACAGTTGTTCACAAAAGTCATTACTGAAAAGCATTAAAGCCCTAAACCTGTAAGAGAAAGTGGAGAGGAAATGCAGCCAATTCTGATTCAGTGACTTCCCAAACACAACTGGAAATGTGGTGCCAGTGGAGCACAGGAGCCCAAGCGGGAGCCACAACAGCAAATTGTTTGTTTCAGTTGTAAAATTGGTGAGAGCAGAATGAAAACGATGAAACCTTTATCTTAGAACAGCTTGGAAATTCAATGCTAATTCTGCATTTGTGGCTCAGATCTCTTCTATTTGTCTTCAGAAAGAGCTGAAATGATGTTATAAAACAGACATTTTTCTAAATAAGGGATGACCTCTGTTACCCACTCCAGTTTCAAATTGCATCTGGWGGGATTGTGCTCCTGCCTTATGGGATTCTGGGGTCAGGGAGAGGGATCAGGGAAGCCAAGCATCACCCAGCTCAGCACCTCCAGGGCTGCTCGTGCAGAAGATCACAACACTCTGCTGCCTTTCCAGCACATTCTGGGTCTGATAAACGTGATGTCCTGCACGGAGAGGAGGCTCCCAGGCTGTGACACATCGCTCCAGCACAGGTAGTGAGCTCATGGGAAGCAAAGGCAGAGGGAGAGGGGTTTGCCGGAGCCCGGCGTGATGTGAATGTTAACAAGTCCTCTCACGTCATCAGCTTCCCTGCTCTCCACTCCCTCCCTCCCTGCCTTTCTCTTTTATGAGCCAGCCTGAAATCAGGGAATTACATGCTAAGGAAARCCCTTCAGCTAAACATATAATTATTCTGCACAGGATCAGTGCAGCACAGTTAATCAGTTTACCAACTGAATTAATTTTTATTTTTTTTTTTATGTCTACGTCTCCTGTTGGGAGTGCAGAAATTCTTGATTTAAAGGGGAAAAAATGTCTTGCAGTTGTGAAGTGGGCATCTAAAGCAGAGCATTTRTTAGGAGAGAAAGCTCCACTGCAGGGTGTTTTGGCAGACAAACCTGTCAGTCGCCAGGACTTTGAATCACAGACTCTGTGTGGAGTTGTTACAGGTACTTAAGGAATAGCTGGATTCCCATTTTAATTTTCARCTGTTCAATAACACTGCATTCTCTGAAAGTCACGGCTGTGTTTCGTGGCATTGTATTTCATTTCATTTCCTCGGACTGCTTTGAAAAGTGAGGATTCATTTGGACAGAGGTGTCACTTCCCTGTAAATGAGTTCATGTTTTAAATGACCTACTTGTAAACTGCTCCCCTTAGGAAGTACAACATCTCCAATGCTCTTGATTGTAAAAGCACAGAGAATCCCCTTCAGGTTCTGCCTCCAATGGAAACACAAATTATCAGCCTTTTATTCATTCAATCAAACATCCTCCCTCCCCTCTGCACCCCAAACCCCCAGACCTGTACAGGACTCTCCTCCTCAGTCCATGTTAAAAGAGATGGCTTTGGGTTTGGGTTTGGGTTTGTGTCTGGGATTGGGTTCGTTTTGGGGTTTGGGTTTGGGTTCATGTTTGGGTTTGGGTTCAGGTTTGTGTTCAGGTTTGGGTTTGGGTTTGGGTTTGAGTTTGGGTTTGGAGGGTTCACTGATAACCTGCAAAGTGTCCCTGAGTCTCCCAGGGAGCTCCTGCACCAAAAAAACAACCAAAATCTCCAGGTGAAGCATTCCAGATGCACATCTTGGGGGTGAAGATTGTCATCTACTCATATTACCATGTTATACCTAATCCAAGGGAAAGCTGCCCAGTCAGAAACCYCTGGGATCCCCAAGGCACTGGAGAMCTTTTTGGGTAATGTTTGTTTTCTGCTGGGGTGACGGTGRAATCCGAGCAAGGCAAAGGTTTTTTCTCAAGTACCTTTTGGGTCTGTAGCACCCAGGAAAACAGGTAAGTTATGTAAGAAATGGGTGCATACCWGGGGAAATGCCTGCTCCTTTTCCAAAGGGAAAACCACTTAGAAACGTTTAAAAATTTGGAAAATTTGGGGGGAAAGAAAAGAATACTGACTGAAAACWGTTGCTAAAAATATCTTCCCAATTAATGTTTTCAGCTCCTTTGAAACCTTCCCTTTTAACCACAGTGCCTTCTGCCGTATCTGCTAAACTTGACRAGATATTTTTGCTTAAAGACAGTTTCTTTAAAGCAAAAGTACCCAGAGTTTTAACTTCTAGATCCTCTGAGAGCCTCAGGAATCAATTTCTCCAGACTTGCATGGCCTTTTCAGGTTGTCCACACCATCAGATGCAGTTCCCTAATTGAATTCCAGTTGAGTGCGTTCCCGAGAAAGGAACTGTGGATAAATACAAGATGCCAACTTGTCATTATAATGTTCCTTAGAGCCTACCAATTTTTACTTTTTTGGCAAGTAACATTTCCTAAAGGAAAAGAACAGAAGGGTGTCTCCTCTTGGGGGGGGCTCAGGCTGCAGCTGCTGCTCTCTTTGGATGCTGTAACCAGGACGTGTTCTGGGGACCTGGGTCTCAAACCATTAACATCATTTTTGTGGCTTCCTTCCATCTTCTCTACAATTATTTGATGTTTCTAGTACTCACTCCCAGTTAGTTTCAAAACACAGGCTTTGCTAACAGGTTTAAGAAATAAGTTACAGTGGCTTCAAGGAATATGATAAAYGCAAGTTTTAAAAGCATGTTGCTGTCATTTCCCTATGAAATATGTTATCATTTACAATCTCTACRAATAAAACCAATTGGCTGCGTATTTTTAAATCCCCCAAAGGTATCTTACAGTTGCAACATTTGCTACATCATTTTTTAACATGTTGCTCTCCTCAATCAAGGTAATATTCCTCATTCATAAAGTGGTAATTTTTCAAGAGTGCCTTTAATTTATCTTTTACTGCTGTGAAAGAAGTGACCTTTCAGAATAGAAGAAATACATAAAAACTACSTTGTGAAAATCACTGCCTGTGCAGATCTTCAACCTCCCTGGCACGTGGATTTAGCAGAGTGACCGTAGCCAACAGAGCTGAGCTAYAGAACACATGGAAATCACAGGCAAACAGTGGCCACAGTTGGGCAATTTTTGCAAAATAAGGTAGTTACAAGGAGTTTTAAACTGATTCTGGTCTGCCATTTGTGTGGGTTAGGTATTTCCTTTGGCTGCAATTGAACTGTGCATTGCAAAGGTAGATGCTGGGATTAAAAGGGGCTTGTAATATTAACATGGGGAAAATGGACAAACGTGCAACTTTCCTGTTTGTGGATGTGCAGCTCATGCTACCARGGAAAATATCAACGTTGTGAATACTTTAATGTTCATTGCATTGTCTTTGTGCACTGACACTGCTGCCTACTCCAGATATCCCCATGGATGGTGCACTGTGCAGTCTGGTATGGAAACCCAACTGTCAGGCAACTCCAGACACTCAAAAACCTGCTGCTCGTGTGACCTTCCCCCACTGCTCATTATGGATTACTGCTCCCCAAGATGGAATTAGTTTGCATCAGAAAGGATAGGAAAATAGCAGAATCATTTTTAAATTTAGCAACAAGTATTCTACACACTTTGRCATTTAATTTACATTATAATTGAAGCAATGAGTTAAAACAGCAGAGTGACCTGTCCACTTTTTAACTCTTTCATGTACTGAAAATGAAGGTGTGGATCAGAAAACTCCTCTGCACGTACATTAGGATTTGATATCAYGTAATGACATTGGAGTCTGGGAATCAGTCCTAAGCTGAAGGTTTCAGAATCCATCCCAAAGAYCTTCTTAAGCCCTCCCAATTACCCCGAGTTCCCAAACACCTGAGAAACAAAGTGCACACATTCCCCTAGACAGCATTTGCTTCCCAACACTCCGTGCCTGTAAAATAATTAGCTCATGATGGCAACGTGTCTGATGAGCACCAAAAGAGCCCGATTCCAGCGAAGTGTGGAGATGTAGCTCAGCAAAATGAGATCAGAACCATCCCCTTATTAATGAGAACACTTTGAAAGCTTTAAGGATATTAGAGTGGGCACCCAACTCAACCCACCCCTAAGTTCGGTCATTGYATTACAGGAATCATTCCATGAGTAACCTACACCCCAAATTTGCACCTCTTCTCCTTATATAACAGAGATCCCCCGTGGCAGGAATTATTTGTCTCAGAGACAGACAGCTCATCAGAAACCCTGCACAACAACACTAATGCATCCCACCGTGGGAATACATTCTCCCCCCACTCCGGAGAAATTCAAACCACTTATCGTCAGGAACAATCCCTCACCCTCCCATCCATCCCGCTCTGTTTGCAGCACAGCCGAGCATTGTCAGGCAAAACATGTCACGGCTGACGGCTGTGTTGTGAAACTGCGAATGAGCAGGGAAATCATCATTCCTGTCAAGTTATCCCGCCGAGTTTCCCCGCGGAGCCGCGCTCAGCCCTGCGCTTTCCCAAAGGCTGGMGCGGCCGCGGAGCCCCGGACGAGAGGCTGGGAAGGCTGAGAGGAGCAGGACACGTCCCTAAAGGAGCAGGAGGATGCTTCAGTCCAGCCCCCAGCTCCTGGAGCTCCTTGTGGTACCCAAAACTACAGACGAGTGCTGCACAGCCACTGCATCACATCACCTGATATGAGCAAACCAGAGCTAATCAGGGCAAATTTAAAGCGGCCAAACATCCCGGCGCTGCCCTGTGCGAGGCATAATGGAGCCGTGAGACACAAACACTTTGTGTCTGCATTGTCCAGTTGATCCCCGCTCCGTTCTCGGCAGCGATYCCCACAACACGGCGCAGCCTGAGCAGCCTCTCCACAGCCCTGTCTGTAACCCGGGCAAAGCAGCGCAGGGATGAGCACAACTGAATAAACTCGTCCCAAAACAAAGAATGCSAGAGCACGGATGCAAATTGCCAGGATCCCAAGTACAGACAATACACGGCAATAAACGATCCTACCTTTCATCCAATCCACTACTTGCTTGGGCGTCCACTTGCTAATAGGTTCCATAACGAGAGCCATCATCAGATCACTTTATCATTCACACCAAAATCGGGGAGAAAAGGAGAGAAAAATTGTATCAGAGCATGGCTGGGCTACGCGAGCTGTCGGATTTTACAGCGCAGTTCAAAGAGAAGATGATGCTTTGTCCCTCCAGGTTCCTCCTGCACTGATTCAGTAATGTATAAAATTACACTGCTTGATCAGCTCTGGCACCTCCCCCACTGCACACAGCCTGCAACACCCGGAGCACCGAGCCAGGAAATGGTGCAGTACAGACTTACTTACCAAAGCCTGTGCCCGCCGAGCCACCGGCACGGATAAAACATGGCATTACACACGGACAGAGCCGCGCCGGAGCCGCTCCGCACCCCCGCTCCCACCGAGCCGCTTTATTCCAGCCAGCCCGGCGATCTTCATCAGGGAAAAATGTCACTACTGTAACTTGATAGCAGATTGTCTCGGCTTCATTGTGAATATGCTGACTGTCACTCGGCTCAAAGTGAAGGGAGAAACGTCAGAATATCGCCTGGCATCTGGCAAAATGCTGAGCATCTCCATCTTTACAATGCGAAATGTTGCTGGAGTCTTGTACTGTGTAATCATGTAATTCAGAATGTCAAAGGCAGTACGAAAAGTCTTACCCAAGGGAAAAAAAAAAAAAAAACCCCAAAAAAAACTACTGGGTGGAAGAAAGCTCTTTTTTTTTTTTTCTGGCCACATTCAGAGCCAGGATATTTCCTCCTATGAGCTGCTCATTTTGTAGTGAAAGAATGACAGCATCGAGGAGTCAATCTGTACTACTACAGCACTTTAGGATAGACAAGTACAGCAAGTATTTTGACTCCCAGTGCTGGGATTCTTAGTCAATCTCTCCCTTGCGTTATGAAGGAAAAGAATGTTTTCAGTATCCCTAATCCTGAAGTTTAGTTTGTTTTAATGAGACAAACAGCACCTTTTGCACCCATYTGTGACTCTCTGCACCTCATGCAGCACGAATTCTGCATCCTGTGGCTGAGGAGGTGCTGCTGGCTCCAACCTATTGCCTGAGATCTGCAGCCCCACTATTTTACCTTAAGGGGAGAAACTCAGATTCCAGAAAAAAAAGGCAGAACAAAGCTGTTCCACCTTTCTCCTCAGTGATTTTTCATCTGTGCCTTTTTCTCCTGTGCTGCTCCAAGTTCCCCCAGCACAACATGGGAAGAGGATGATGTTGTTATGTTGTCTGCTCCCCCTGGGGCTGGGTTAGAGTGCCCAGGGCGAGATCTGTCCTCTCTCTCCCATCTGGGGGAGCATGAAACACCAATGGAATATTCATCACAGAATCCCAGCATGGTTTTGGGTTGGAAGGGACCTTAAACCTCAACCAGCTCCACTCCCTGCCATGAGCAGGGGCATTTTCCCCTGTCCCAAATTGCTCCAAGCCCCATCCAGCCTGGCCTTGGACACTCCCAGGGATCCAGGAGCAGCCACAGCTTCTCTGGGCACCCTGTGCCAGGGCCTCCCCATCCTCAATTCCTTCCTAAAATCCAGTCTAATCCTACTGTCTGGCAGTTTATTCTYTACTCTTTCAGGGCTCTTTTTTATATAGTTAAGGATGCAGACAGGCATCTTTCCCCCCGCTAAAGCGTCTCCAAAGAGATGTKCCATTCTCAGCTCAGTGATGCACTCTATCCTTTTTTATTTTTCTTTAGCTTTGGGAAATAGTGTGATTAGTATTCTATGATGTATTTGGAGTGCTCAGAGCACAGATCTTCTTTACAAAAGGATTCACATCAATTCTCCTTCAAGAAGGCTGAACAGCATGTCAGCTTCCTCTCTGAGTTTTGGGAGACCACTTTCGGTAGCTTTAGTTCTGTCTAAATAGCTGTTTACAATGGACATAATAATGACAAAGCTCTCAAAGGCACAATACTTCTCCTTTTAGGCAACAGTGGRCCAGAATTGAGAATAAATATTTCTATTAGCTATTGGAAACTGTACAAGTTGTATTCTTTCTTAAAATTCTTAATTTTTTTTTAAGTTCAGTACAACCATGGAAGAATTTGAGGTAACTTATGTTGCGTATAAGAGTGGTATTTTGACACATTTGCACAAAAAAAAATCTATTTCCCTAATTCCTGCCATTTGACAGACAATCTGTCAATACCCCTTTGTCCCACATTTCCTACCCAGGCCTGACTGGGCACTTTTTTTTTCATATATTTTGACATATTTTTGAAAGAGAAAGAAGCACCTGAATTCAAAGCCAATCAATGTCACTGGGCATAATTCCACTCATTTAATTGTCCTTGGATGACAAAAGCCYCAAACCATTATTTTGGAATCAGGGCTTCCATTTTCCCAAGGAGAACCTTCCAAATCTTTCATGTCCTGTYACTGAGGCTCCTCCCCTCAAAGATGGTTTGCATTTTCATTTATTCCCAGTATTTTTCACCACCATGGTGCTGGCTCAGGCAGYAAAGATAATTTGGCTGGAAGACCTTGGCTGTTAGATAAACTCCCATAGTTTTCCTTATTATTACCCATCACAGTTTCCCTGTATTTTGGGATTTTACAACCTCCAGGACGCTGACTTTTTGCTCTACTTCTCAGAATAAAAAATTCAAAGCTGTTCAAAAACCCTCAGTTTCTCTCCTTGCTGATGATTTATTCAGGTTCATTCTCTGTTGCAAAGATCAGCGCACACRGCCCCGCTTTGTCACGAATCATTCTAACCCCGGGGAAATGTTCCTCCAGCTCCTCTCATGGGTATGTTCAGCGTGCCAGCCCACGGATTGTTCCACCTGGGGATTTCCTCTGCTCCTTCTTTTGTTRTTTCAAGGGAGATTCATTCCTCACGCCCAGGAGAGGATCAGGAAAGGGGTCTGGGGGAGACCATGGGGCTCAGTGAGGGATCCAGCTGACCACAGGGAGGGCCAAATGGAGCCCAGACGTGCCCAGATTATTCCTGGAACAGTTCAAGGCAGTTCAGAGCAGTTTTTGATGCAGGTTGTCCACTCTGTCTGCTGAGGTGGTGACTCTGGGATGAGTAATGATGGAATACACCCCAGCCCTGCTCAGAGCTGTCATCCTCACTCCTGACACGGCTCCAAACCTCCTCCCCCACAGTTCCTGCCAGCCAYGGGTCACTGCAGTGGGATCAAGTCTGAAAAGTCACTAAAAAATAATTTTTTTTTTTTTAAAAATAGACAAAACTATATAACCCTTAAAGCTGTGCCATGCATTTTCCTGCCCGTTTATTCATTTCATTTCTTTTCCTGCCTAGATCTCTCCCCCAACCCACCTAGCACTGCTTCCTAATGCTGACATAAAAGCAACAATGCCTTCCCATGACTGTGTTTTTCTTCCAGGCTGAATGTAGCAAATCAAGAGAAAAAAAAAGATCAAGGAACATCTTTCTCACTATTATTCTATCTAGGTCATGTAAATGAGAAATACTTTGTGACTGAAGTCTGCATAAGCATCGGAGCAAAGTGAGGCATTTGAAAGGGAGAAAGGAAGCAGAGCTTTCACTACGATGCAACGTTGTTGTCAAAGGCCTATATAAAATAATCTGGTAATTCCAGCCCATAATCATCGCTGCTGCCTTTGACAGCAAAGGCCTAAGGCTGAACAGACTGGTGGAAAGGTTTGGAGTCCCTCCTCCTTCCCAGCAATAATGCTGAGAGTGCTGGAGCTTTTGAGCACTGCCTGGTATCTCTGGGATTGCTAATTAAGCCATCAGTCTCCGTATTTTCATGGTCACTGTGGGAGGCAGTTAAATGTTCTTGTGTATTTCATGGCCAGTGATAACTTTCCAATTAAAGATTATGCTCAAATCTGGTGCCATAGCCACTGTAACACTTAGAACAATCGTGTATTTCTTGCAGTTTTCATTTGGAAACAATTATTCTCATTTTCTTTGATGAAGAAATAACTTGCATGTTGTGAAAGAAGTCCTTTAAGAGSGGGATAGTTTAATAAAAATCTTGACATGGCATTTGATGTCCATTATGGAAAAACAAGAGCATGCAGTCCCAGATTAAATAAGTCATGAACGCCCTGGAAAAGTGGTATGTAATGTTATAACTTARGACATCTATAATTTATATTATTAATGGAAATGTAAGCAAAATCTCTGAGGAAATGACTGTTGAACTCATGGTTATCATTAAAGCTTTTTATCATGTAACATTCATATATTATACAGCTGCTTTTTTGTGGAAAAGAACATTTAAAAAAAGAAACAGAATGGAGTTAAATTGTTCATTTTCATCTGCTCTAAGCCAGGTTCTGCCTGATGTTACCTCCAACCCTTGAGACACTTKTTGAGAGATGGCAAGAGCCTCTGGTGAAAGTGCACAAGAGCAATAAATGTGTTGGGAGCAACAAAACCCAGCTTAGGTTTGGGGTAGGGATTGATAGATTCTCTTATTTAATGATGAACCTTGGCMTTAAGCCTGGCTTTGCAAGGACAGTCCAGCTCAGGAGAGCCTGAGGAGGGTCCTGTGCTCTGAGCAGCCCAAACAGGGGCTGTAGGAAAGGGTTTGGATCATTCCCAGCTCCCAGAGAAAGGTGCCACATGATCCATCAGTGTTTGCTTCAGATCCCAGGATATTCTGAGTTGGAATGGACAAGGATCAAGCCCAGCTCTCGAGTCAATGATTTATCTGGGGATGGAATCCACACCCTTKGTGTTCTCAGTGCCAACAAAGGGAGCCAATCTCTTGGGTGGGTGTTTCATTGCTGTGTCCAGAAGCTGTGGCTGCCCCTGGATCCCTGGAAGTGTCCCAGGCCAGGCTGGACAGGGCTTGGAGCACCCTGGGATGGGGGAAGGGTGTCCAGGACAGCGGGTGGCACTGAATGAGGTTTAAGCTCCTTTCCAACCCAAAGCACTCCATGACCCTGCCATTCTCCAGGCATGCTGCAGTTGGTGTTGCAGGAATTTCCTTTGTGGAA